GCTTTTTGTCCAATTTGCCAGTCTGTGTCTTTTGATTGGGGCGTTTAGCCCATTTACATTTAGGGTTAATATTGTTATGTGTGAATTTGGTCCTGCCATTTTGATGCTAGCTGGTTGTTTTGCCCATTAGTTGATGCAGTTTCTTCATTGTGTTGATGCTCTTTACCATTTGGTATGTTTTTGGAGTGGCTGGTACTGGTTGTTCCTTTCTATGTTTAGTGCCTCTTTCAGGAGCTCTTATAAAGCAGGCCTGGTAGTGATGATATCTATGAGTACTTGCTTGTTTGCAAAGGATTCTATTTTTCCTTCACTTATGAAGCTTAGTTTGGCTGGATAGGAAATTCTGGGTTAAAAGTTCTTTTCTTTAAGGATGTTGAATATTGGCCCCCACTCTCTTCCGGCTTGTAGGGTTTCTGCTGAGAGATCTGCTGTGATTCTGATGGGCTTCCCTTTGTGGGTAACTCGGCCTTTCTCTCTGGCTGCCCTTAGCATTTTCTCCTTCATTTCAACCCTGGTGAATCTGATTATTGTGTGCCTTGGTGTTGCTCTTCTTTGTGGTGTTCTGTGTATTTCCTGGACTTGAACATTGGCCTGCCTTGCTAGGTTGGGGAAGTTTTCCTGGATAATATCCTGAAAAGTATTTTCCAGCTTGGATTCATTCTCTCCGTCACATTCAGGTACACCGATTAAACGTAGATTAGGTCTTTTCACATAGTCCCCTATTTCTTGGAGACTTTGTTCATTCCTTTTTACCCTTTTTTTAAGCAAAGTTAAGCAGATTTCTTATTAGGCTTCTCAAAGTTTAAATAGTTTTGACAAGTAAGTTTCTTCATGGAGTATAAGTTATGTAACATTTTAAAAATTTTATTTGCTGAGAAGATTTTTTTTTTCTTGGAGTGACTTGAAGCGTTGTTGTTCTCTTGGAAAATTTTATACTAGTCAGGGTGGGAGTAGAGTTAGGCAAGTTGAGACACTAGCTTTGCACCATGTGAGAGGAAGTGCCTCCTTAAATTGCACACTCTGGGTGCTTCATTTGCCTTGTGCTATTCCCAAACCTAGCTCTAACCCATGGGCCATGGCACAGGCTAGCCAGGTAGAGAATTCTGGGTTTATGCATAAAGCTATACCCCAACGTGCCTGCTGCAACCAGGCAGCTACTCAAACATTTCTTGAACAAATGAATTCAAACTAAAATGAAGAGATATTGTCCCTGACTACCAGCATCAGTAAACAAACTGATAACATGGAGAAAAATGAAACCTTGTTCTTATCATGCTGTGGGATTGCAAAGAGAGCCACACTGAGGCTGGAAAACAGGGGAACTCAAGGCGACAATTTTATTTGGGTTTTAAAGGCAGCTATGATTAGAAATGTGACTGTAAAAATGGCATTTCAATGTTCCAAATGTATTCCCCTTTGGTGACTTCCATGTCAAATTCAGTTAGTTTACAAACATAAACAAAAGATTCCCAACTGCAGCTCTGGGAACTCAGGGAAAGACTTGAATGACCTGCCCTGCCCTTTCCGGCTGAAGAGCCCTGCTCCGGCAGGTGAAGGAGGGGTGGCCACTGAGCCACAGAGCAGGTGAGGACAGGTCTCACAGGTGGGAGGCTCGGCGGGTGCAGCCCTGGTGCCCAGGCCTTAGGGTTCTGTGGTGCCACTAAGTGCACAGCATCTTAGTCACATTCGAGGGAGCCCAGCTTTGTCAATGAGTGCTTTTGAAAGGACAAAAAATGCATTGCTAAATTGTAAACAGCAGTGTGTGTGTGTGTGTGTGTGTGTGTGTGTGTGTGTGTGTGTGTGACAGAGAGAGAAAGAGAGCAAACAACAGATAAAACAAGAGTAAAAGCAAAAGTAAATTACTCACTGTGACAGGCATTGTCTCAAGAAGCCATCTATATTCTTGTGGAAAACTGGCCATTATCTGGTGTATATGAACACATCCAAGAAAATCAGACTCAACATCACCCCAGGTGCTATGCTTTGTGGATAGGATAGGGAAGTGTTACCAGAACTTTTAAAATGTTTCTTTTCTGACAAATACAAGTAATGCAGAAAAGCCTCCCTATTCAATAAATGGTGCTGGGATAACTGGCAAGTCATATGTAGAAGATTGAAGCTGGACCTCTTCCTTACACCTTATACAAAAATTAACTCAAGATGAGTTAAAGACTTAACTGTAAAACCCCAAACTGTAAAAAGCCCTGGAAGACGACCTAGGCAATAACATGCTAGACATAAGAACAGACCAAGATTTCATAACAGACGCTAAAAGCAATTGCAGTAAAAGCAAAAATTGGCAAGCTGGATCTAATTAAACTTAAGAGCTTCTGTGCAGAAAAAGAAAGTATCAACACAGTAAACAGACAACCTACAAAATGGGAGAAAATATTTGTAAACTATGTATCTGACAAAGGTCTAATATCCAGCATCTGTAAGAAACTTAAATAAATTTACAAAAGAAAAACATACAACCCCATTAAAAAGTGGGCAAAGGACATGAACATACACCTTTAAAAAGAAGACATACATGCAGCCAACAAGCATATGAAGAAGAGCTCAATATCACTGATCATTAGAGAAACCACAATGAGATATCATCTCACACCTGTAAGAATGGCTGTTACGAAAAATTATAAAAGTAACAGATACTGGTAAGGTTGTGGAGAAAAGAGAACACTTATTACTATTAGTGGGAGTGTAAATTAGTTCAACCATTGTGGAAAGCAGTATAGTGATTCCCCAAATTGCTAAAAGCGGAACTACCATTTGACCCAGCAATCAATCCCATTACTGGGCATATACCCACAGGAATATAAATCATTTTACCATAAAGATGCAATCTTTATGGCAAATGTTCACTGCAGCACTAGTCACAATAGCAAAGACATGGAATCAACTTAAATGCTCATCAATGGTAGACTGGATAAATGTGATACATATACACCATGGAATACTATGCAGCTATGAAAAAGAAAGAAGTAATGTCTTTTACAGGAACACGGACAGAGCTGGAGGCCATTATCCACAGCAAACCGAAGCAGGAACAGAAAACCAAATACCACATGTTCACAGTTATAAGTGGGAGCTAAATGATGAGAACTTATGAACACAAAGAAGGAAACAATAGACACTGAGGTCTACTTGAGGATGGAGAGTAGAAGGAGGGAGAGGAACAGTGGAGCAAAGAGGAGCACGGTTGAAGGAAGGAGAGGAGCAGAAAAGATAACTATTGGGTCCTGGGCTTGACACCTGGGTGATGAAATCATCTGTAAAATGAACCCCCATGACATGTGTTTACCTATGTGACACTCACTGTACCTCTGAAAAAATAAAAGTTTAAAAAAAGCTTCTTTTGACCTGAAAAATATCACATGCTATGTACTATCCTGTTGTACAGCCTCAGTGGGCTGAATCCTCCTAGAGCCTGGTCACAAACATAAAGCATGCAGGGACCTCAAAGTAAAATTGCAAGAGGTGAAACCACACAGCTAAGGAAAGCAGAGTAAGGTCTGATGTATTAAATTAAATAGAAGAGCTAGGCGCTTCGGGAACCACGGCTTAGGTGCAGACATGGCCAAGTCCAAGAACCACACAACACACAACCAGTCCCGAAAATGGCACAGAAATGGTATCAAGAAACCCCGATCACAAAGATACGAATCTCTTAAGGGGGTGGACCCCAAGTTCCTGAGGAACATGCGCTTTGCCAAGAAGCACAACAAGAAGGGCCTAAAGAAGATCCAGGCCAACAATGCCAAGGCCATGAGTGCACGTGCCGAGGCCATCAAGGCTCTCGTAAAGCCCAAGGAGGTTAAGCCCAAGATCCCAAAGGGGGGTGTCAGCCGCAAGCTTGATCGACTTGCTTACATTGCCCACCCCAAGCTTGGGAAGCGGGCTCGTGCACGCATTGCCAAGGGGCTCAGGCTCTGCCGGCCAAAAGTCAAGGCCAAGTCCAAGGATCAAAACAAGGCCCAGGCTGCAGCTCCAGCTTCAGTTCCAGCTCAGGCTCCCAAAGGTGCCCAGGCCCCTACAAAGGCTTCAGAGTAGATATCTCTGTCTGCCAACATGAGGACAGAAGGACTGGTGCGACCCCGCGGGGCTGCCATCTGCATGGGGCTGGGGTCCTCCTGTGCTATTTGTACAAATAAACATGAGGGAGGATTTGTTAAAAAATAAATAAATAAATAAATAGAAGAAATGCCCAATATAGGTGGTTGCCCATCAAGTGTTTAGTCTCTTATTGTTTCTTGTTTTGAGACACACTACTTTTTGGGGGTGCAGCAACACCCATTCCATTCCAAAGCATGATTGTGCAAAAACACCTCTGATAAACTTGGTTCCTAATTTTCCAGCTTCCCTTGCTTCTGTGGGACGACTTGCCACCCATGGAAGTCTGCTGGGAAGGGGGAGTGAACAGATGATCTATGAAAATATTTGCTTTCCTGATTATGGAAAATAGAATGTCCTCCAAGAACCTCTTTCTATTCCATAGTCTTCCCATCTTGTACAGGACACAGATATGATGGCTTGAGTGGCAGCAACCTCTATGTGACTAGGAGAGGAAGGCCACAAAAATGAAAGAGACCTCGGATCTAATGTGGTAGACCCACTAAACTAATCATAGTTGCCTACCTCCCTGCTCTTGTTTTAGAGAAAAACAAAGCATTATTCGTTAAAGGCCCTATCATCAGATTTTCTAATTCAGGCAGCTGAACGTATTTCTAACTAATATGGCAGAAGGGCATGGGGCTGTTCCGTCTGCTTGGAGGGACACTTAGCCATTCCAAGCACCTAGTACAGGACACATAACAAAATTGAGACTATCCCAAGCCAGTATCACTCTCTATGGGGTTGGAGAAAGCAAGGTATGAGGTTTTGAAGCAGCAGCCATAGTTCTAAGGATGGATGGATATCAGAGTTGAAGTGCCAAGAAAGCCTTTTGAGGATACTCTAACCATCTAGTTCAGGGCATGTAAAGGCAGATTATGGCCCCAGTGGAAGTAAACTGACCCAAAGGAGAAGACTGAATTTCTTTACCACCTGGGTTTTGTTTTTACTGGAGAACTGCACTAAAACAAAACAACACAAAAAACATCTGTCTTCCTTCAGGACCTTGCAGCATAAATCAGTTTCATGCAAAAGAGGATCTCCAGTGTTGTCTTGCTACAAGGAGCCTTGGGGGTGACCCACGTTCACTGTCACATCCTTCACATCTTTTTCCATCCTGTTGTTTCTTCTTGCCACTTCTGAAATTGTTACGCATTTTCTTATTTAGATCCCTGCATAGCCTGTGTGATGGTTAATACCGAGTGTCAACTTGATTGGATTGAAGGTGTGAAGTATTGTTCCTGGGTGTGTCTGTGAGGGTATTGCCAAAGGAGATTAACATTTGAGCCATTGGACTGGGAGAGGCAGACTTAGGTTAACTGAGAAATAATCCTTAAATTATTTTAAGTACCTGAGATTTTAGAATTTTGTACTGTAATGACAATCATTAACTATCCTGACCAATAGGAATCTTGGTTCAAAAGTGGAGTAATGACTTTACAAAAACCTAATTTATGTGGCATTGAATAAGGAGTTGAGCAGCAAACAGTGAGGCTAGGAAGATGGTGATTCATTTTTTTACAGTGAGAACAGGTGCAATATGCCTGCAATGCCAGAAGAAAAGAATACAAAATTTAAAAAGCAGTTGTTACTAGGTGAGGTATTAGCAACTACTGGTGGATTGAGAAGGTATTACAAGAAAGACACAAACTCGATAATTCATTAGCCTCCTTATAAGCGGAAATGAACTGGAATGAAATAGAGAGACCAGAAAATTTAGGCCTTGTAGGGTTGGAAAAACTGACTGTTTCTAAAGCCTACACTGTAAGAGAAGGGATTAGAAAAGGCTTTGAATGACAAATGCTCAGTAAGATGAAGTGATTTCAGGCAAAGATCAGATTGAGTCTTAAGATGTTCTAATTAAGTTGAGAGAGACAGGTGTGAGGGAAAAAATGAAAAGTAATATAGTGGCTCTAAAACCTATGTCTCTTCAGATATCTAGGTGTGGTTACTGGCACATGGAACTGAGGGAGAGTGTACATCAGAATCTGATTAACTTTTTGAGATAATGAATAACCTAAGAAGCCACAAGCTCAGAATTTAAAAATATCTTTTACTGAAACAATTCTAAAACCCTCGGAAAAAGTTTCTAGGCAGTAGAGCCAGGGAATATAGAAGAAATGTCAAATGAGCCCTTCCAGGAGTAGAATCATGCCTTCCTCTAGAATCTTCCTTCACCTTAGGGAATGAACACTTCACAGTGCTCCCGGTACAATTGCTATGACCGGTGATGTGATTGCTGCCGTCTCCATCACATTCCCTGTTTAAAATGGGAGTGTTCACTACAGTTATCCTATTCTGGTTACACCACGGTATACTGAATATTTTGTGTACATGTGTTTTGTACACAAAATATTCTGTGTGTGTTTACGGGGAGGCAGTTATGGAGAAAAGGAATATCTTAGTTCCCAACTCTGTAGATCTAAATATTTAGAGAAAATCCTTTCTCCGTGTTGGATGCTTCGCCCTGAAACATCAATCAGACTTCAAGTTCTTCAGCTTTTGGAGTCTTGGACTTATACCAGTGATTTCCCAGGGGCCTTCAGGCCTTTGGCCACAAACTGAAGGCGGCACTGTTGGCTTCCCTACTTTTGAGGTTTTGGGACTTGGACTGGCTTCCTTGTTTTTCAGCTTTTAGACAGCCTATTGTGGGACTTCACCTTATGATCATGTGGGTCAATACCCCTTAATAAACTCCCTTTTATATGTACATTCTGTGCTATTAGTCCTGTCACTCTAGAGAATCCTAATCCTAACAACTTACCTCTCTCCTCAAAGGCTAACGTGGTGTTTCCCTGCAGATATTAACTGAACTAGGACACTTTTGCAGGGAAAAGGATTTTCTCTAAATACTTACAGTAGGACAATAGCTATAAACTGGGTCTTTCCTGAGCAGACTGGAATGTATGGTCATCCTGTATATAGGTATTATAAAATTTGTCACATCATTGTTTACAATGTCACAGTAAATAAATAAATAATAGTAACAAATAGACAGGAATTATAATTATCATGTACAATGATGACATAGTAAGCCATTAATAAAACAATGTCATATCTGGGTGTGGTGGTACATACTGTAGTCCTGACTACTCCGGGGACTGAGACAGGAGGATTGCTTGATCCAGGAGTTCGAGGTTGCAGTGAACTATGGTTGCACCACTGCTCTCCAGCCTGGGCAACCCAGCAAGACTCCATCACTAAAAAAAGTGTTATAAAGAAAACATTTAATATTATGGAAAGAATTCACGATATGTAAAGATATAGAAAAAAGGTTTACAGATTTATTTCCATTCAGTGGGTGGTGGAAAAGATAGTGAAAAACTGGCTGGGTGAAGTGGCTCACACCTGTAATCTCAGCATTGTGGGGGGCCGCGGCAGGAGGATGGCTTGAGCAAAGGGGTTCAAAAGCAGCCTGGGCAAATAGTGAAACCACATCTCTATACAAAATACAAAAAAATTAGCTGGGCATGGTGGCATGCACCTGTGGTCCCAGCTACTTGGGAGGCTGAGGTGGGAGGATCGCTTGAGCCTGGAAGGCAGAGGCTGCAGTGAGCTGAGATTGTGCCACTGCACTTCAGCTTGGGTAACAGAGTTCTAACCCAATGCAAAAAAACCTTTTTTTTGTTTTTGTTTTTTGCAAGGAAATTGTATTGAAATCCATTAAGTATACTCTGGAAAGTGCTAGGTTTCAGTTATGTTAATATGGCTCTAAGAATCATCAAACAAATGCCTTCTAGAAGCTAATTGTTTTGCTGCCAATTTTGAATAATTTACACTTAACCTCCTATGAAATCATGGAAAAAAGGATTTCTTTCCATTATTCCAGGGTCTTCCATTCAAAAGTATCATTCCCTTAGATCCCCCCATACCACTATGATTAGCATATTTCTTTAACTATCATTAATAGGCATCTGTATGTAATGAACATTCGTTCTCACTGGATTCCAGCAATGCTGAACAACTCCAAATCTACCTCAAATTCAGCTCCCAGACTTGTTTTGATCAGCATTTTTATCCATGATGAAATAAAGAAGTTGAATTTAGGTTGAACAAACTTGCCAATGACATGGATTAGGGAGAAACCAAACAGCCAATTCATGTGACTCTTGGTTATAATCCTCTGAGGTGCAAAATAGCTGAATCTAAGGAAGAAAATATAAAACCATAATCAAGACAAAGCTGTGCTATTGGTTCCAGAACAAGTAAACCTATGAAACAAGAAGAGTGGAATCAGAATCAATATGTGTAAGATATAGGAAGGTCTAAATATGGCTGAACATATGGAAACCTTTCTAAGAATATAATGCAAAGACACCATAAGGAACTAGGGCTCTTCTATCACCAGAAGTGTTCAAGCAAAATATTGTCTGCTGGACGAATAACATGATGCAAAAGTTAATGAGTGAACTGGATATTAAAGGATAAATTATAAGAAAGGTAGTCTAGTGTAAAGCGTGACCCTCAGAGGGGCAGGCAGAAGCCCCTTTAATCATCATTATACAAGAATACAAAAGAGAAATCAAGAAGAGAAACTAGCAAATAAACAAAGTTCTATGATTGCTGACAGGGTTGGAGAGGAGGTGCCCTTGCTCAACTTAATTGCAATATTGATTTCCATTAGCAGGCATGCATGCAAGTAGGACAGAAGTAGAAAAGGCACAGTTCACAGAGGTGCCGTGTATGTACACTTAGGGAACTAATTGTGCATAATTTATCTGAGAAACCTTTTCATGGAATGGTTCTAAGAATTGCTGTTGAAATTCCCACTTCTTTCCCTCCCTCCTTCCTCCTTCCTTCTCTCTTTTTCTTTCCTTCTTTTGTGCCTTCCTTCCTTCCTTCCTTCCTTCCTTCCTTCCTTCCTTCCTTCCTTCCTCCCTCCCTCCCTCCCTCCCTCCTTCCCTCCCTCCCTCCCTCTCTCTCTCTCTTTCTCTTTCTTTCTTTCTTTCTTCTTTCTTTTCTTTCTTTCTTTCTTTCTTTCTTTCTTTCTTTCTTTCTTTCTTTCTTTCTTTCTTTCTTTCTTTCTTTCTTTCTTTTTCTTTTCTTTTCTTTTCTTTTTCTTTTTCTTTTTCTTTTTCTTTTTCTTTTTCTTTCTTCTTTCTTTCTCTCACCTGTGAATCAAAACTAAAGTCTCCCACATAGTTTCTTTGCGTGATGAACTCCTCTCCCTGATGCTAGACACATTGTCAATCTCTGGCAAATGGACCCAGATGCTGAATACTGTGCAGATGCTGAATACTGGGCATGGAGCTCATGCCAATGGTATGGTAATGAAGGGAAGAATCAGAATTGCACAAAGAGATAAAAGGCCCTGCTTCACAAGCTCAATGACTTCTAAGAAGAGAAAGCAGACCTGTCATTCTCCATTCTTTATTGCCAGGATGTCTAGAATAAGAGAAATGGGGCTTAGGTGGTAGAAGAGACTGGGTTAAGCCAAGGGAGAATTTCTTTATTACAAAAAAAACCCAAAAACTGATACTGCCCCATGTTCCTGGGTGCCTTCAGTATAAATTATGAGGTTATCTGGATAAAATGCAGACCATCTCTTAGGGATTAATTTCTTGAAGTTTGCACATTCCTTCAGCATTGTTTGTGACATGCTAGGATTCCAGCTCAAGGGCTCTAAGAAAGTAGATAATTTCAATATAAGCCTCTTTTTTTAAAGGAACTTCTAGAGATAATTCTGTGTCCCCTGAGATCACATGAGATGCAGCTTAAACCATTCCTCCTCTAGAAAGAGAGGGGTAAATAAATTGAATCACAACCATTTGCACTTTTTTTCCAAACAGATGATTCCATAAGATTGTGTATAGGAGGTTTTAACCAGGAAGTGTGAGGAAGAGAAGCCATAAATCACAAGCAGAGTCTATACATCAGGATCCTGAATAACTTCAGCCTTGTCCTCAGAATGCCTGGAATTCGATAGCACTGAGTGTGTGTGTGTGTGTGTGTGTGTGTGTGTGTGTGTGTGTGTGTGTGCCTGTGTGTGTCTGTCTGTGTGTCTGTGTCTGTGTGTGTCTGTCTGTGTGTCTGTGGAAGATGGAGGATAGGAAGACAGATAATGAGAGCATCCCTAATATGGTTTGGCTGTGTTGCCAACCAAATCTCATCTTGAATTGTAGCTCCCGTAATTCCATGTGTTGTTGGAGGAACCCAGTGGGAGGTAACTGAATCATGGGGGTCTTTCCTGTGCTGTTCTGGTGCTAAAGAATAAGTCTCATGAGATCTGATGGCTTTATAAAGGGAGTTTCCCTGCACATGCTCTCTTGCCTGCTGCCATGTAAGACATGCCTTTGTTTCTCCATCTTCCACCAAGATTGTGAGGCCTCCCCAGTCATGTCGAACTGTGAGTCCATTAAACCTGTCTTTTCATTATAAATTATCCTGTCTCAGATATGTCTTTATATTAGCTGAGAAAGGACTAAGACAGTCCCTCAAAATTCTTATATACTTCTTTTTTGGGAGGAAGGCACAGGGAGGAGAGGGAGTGCTGGACCTCCTAGGTAAGCATCAGTGCACATATTGCAAGATGATCCTGATGTGTGTGACAGTGTTATAACTGGAAGCAGAAAGGATGTAGCATAGAACTGTGGCCCTGTGGCCCTGTGGAGCAGAGTTGGCTCCCTACAAGTCATGGGCAGCTCAGGCAATTCAGTCATAGTGAGAGTCTCAGAGGATGTGGTCTCAACAGGAGAATCTGCAGTTCTAGGAGGCCTGTGTCTTCAGGGGCGTTTCTGTGTGCAATCCTTGGGAGATTCCATTGCCATGCTTTCCCAGAAACATTCTATCTACTGAATAAAAAAGAAAGTGGGGATTCCCTTAAGGAGCAAGCAAAATGTCCCTCAATATACTTGGTCAGCTCTAACCTGGAAAACCCTGAACTGAACCTTGTGGTGTTGTCTAGGCTAGCAATATCTATTAAGATTCCTTTTTGCAAAAGGAGATAGCAATTATATATATATATATATATATATAAAATATGTGTGTATGTATACATGAGATGTATATATATTTATATATAATTAATGTATACTTGTAAAAACACATTTTACATGTAACTTTTCTCTGCAAAAGGATTATTCATTCTATTTAGCAAGGAGAGTGATAGTTTTTTTGGAGAGAAAAGTTACATGTAAAATGAGTAAAATTACTACCACACATAAAATGTAGCTGCCTTTCTTTCCCATGAAATATCCCTGGCTCATGTAAAAATGTATTTTGAGGCATCTGTGACCATGCCCTAATATCAGCTGTATTCCTGATTTTTTTTTCTGTGTATTAAATGTTCACTACTCTTAGAGAGCTTGGGGTTACAAAAAAATTAAAAGTGTGCACTCGTTCGAAAATGATTTGAAAGATAAGAAGAAATCCCAAAACTAATGATCATCAGTATGATTTTGCTTTGGGGTACAAGAGCCTGAATTATTGCCTGTCCTTGAAACTGATGCTTGAGTGTTTATTAGCCTGAGCGGGTGCATGCTCCCTGACTAAGATGTTTCCTGAATGCCAAGGAGTACAGTCCCCTGTGCAGAATCCAATCTGCCCTCATTATTCCTAGAAGATCCTTACAATCACCTCAAGAGCTCTTGTGTTTCTCAGCCCAGCAGCTCTGATTTCCTTGTTCTGTCACAAGTCAGATCTCTTCCCTGAAATGACAGTCGGGGCAAGCCATGAGGCATGTTGATAAAAGGGCACGTTCCTATTTGAGCAGACAGGATGAAGGTGATGAAATAGAAAGGCATCCATTCTGCTGCTCTGAATACCAAGCAGCAAGTCAGAGAGGATCAAAGGCAAATGAAGTCCAC